AGCTAACAGCTGGAACTGTGGAAGTTAAGAACAGCCATTTGAGAAGCAGTGTCTCTCATATCTGCTATGGCCCGATCTTCTGTAAGGTGCAGTTTCTTCCTCCTCCTCCTCCTCCTCAGGGAAATAAAGCTCCCTCAGTTTCACTTCTGATAGCAGAGCTTCCATTTTCAGGGGTGTAGCAAGGACAGTAACGGTGGTGATATTAGAAGGCAGGTAGTGGGAACATCCTGATGGGTCATCAGAAGAGAGAATGTCCAAAAAAGGAGCACTTGAGTGTCAAAATAGTCCACTAACTTCACTGATGATGAGTAACTCTGGCTTGGCCTGCTTAGGTTCCTGAAAAAGCAGCAGCAGCGTGTTTTGGGGTGCACAGCCACTCAGGAGATGCTCTTTGCTGTGTCCTGAATGCTTTGCTTCAGTTCCATTGAGGTTTTCCTAGAAGTAGTAAATTATGTACAAGCAACTCTGATAACATGGGAGAGGTGCAGTAAAAATGCCTGAGCAGAGATCCTGTGGCAGAAGACTGGTAATGGGAATTGGTCTGTGTCCTCCTTAGGAATCCAGAGCGATAGCTGAACTGAAGGATTGTGGAGAAAAGCGTGTCTGCAGAGTGGGGAGGAAGGTGCTGCTGGCTGCCACCTGAAGACCTGGCTCTTTACAATGTGCTTGTTCTGTTCCCTTCTTAGATAGTTGTGGAGATTCTGGAAGGAGAATCTGTCATCACCTGGGACTTTGACATCCTGAAGGGAGATGTGGTGTTCAGCCTTTTTCACTCCAAACGAGCTCCTGAAACAAGTCATAAAGAAGCTGCCTTACCAAGTACCTCTGCTGCTGGGGACAATGTGCAGCTAATTGATAAGATGTGGGTCCTTGGGGTGGATTACAGCCGTGTGGAATCTCCACTGGTTTGCCGGGAGGGAGAGAGCATCCAGGTCAGATGTGTTTGGGTCCTGGCATGGATCTTACAATCCTAGCAAACTCCAAAATGATCTGGTGGTGGGGAGGGGAAGGAATTGATGGAGAGGGAAATCATGTGTTGCTTGGAAATGGTTGTCGTGGTCAGCATTCTCTGGATTCCCTGTGGAAGTGGCTGCTGTTGCAGCCCTAATTTAGGCTGAGCCATTGGAAAGAGATTCAATAATCTGTGATAAAAAGCTAATTTAAAATAACCTCTTTTTTTTTTTTACTAGCATTACAGGAGTGCGGCTCAGGCTTTTAAAATAAGTGAATTGTGTTTGCTCCCCAAAGTAGCCAGCTCAGTAGTTTCTTTTGACTTTGCCAAGTCATTCAGCTATTTCTTAAGATGCATGATAGTCACTGGATGGCTCTCTCTTTCTCTCCCAGGGATCTCACGTGACTCGCTGGCCTGGCTTTTACATTCTCCAGTGGAAAATGCATGGCCCTCTGCCCTGCTCTAGCACTAGCCTCCCTCGAGTGGACGATGTTCTTGCCTCTCTGCAAGTTTCCAGTCACAAGTGCAAGCTTATATACTACTACGAGGTGCTTGCATCCAAGGACTTCAGGTAGGACATTTACTGGGGGGATTTACTATACAAATAAGAGGACTGAGGGCAAGTTAAACATTCAGATATCAATGACCTCCACAGGGTGTTTGTTTCATTGATAATAAACTAGATGGGAAAAACTTGGTATATTTTGTGCAAAGAATCTCCTTTAGTGCTGTAGGTTGTAAGGGACCCCTTGGCTTTGTGTCCATCAGTAGAATTTGTGCTGGAGTTCTTGCTTACAGGTGGATGAAGAGGGGGAGGGTTTTGAGTAAGGAGTTTTCTGATCTTGGTTGGGAACATTTTGAGAAGTTACATTTGGAGTAACTTATAAATATCAGCTGGGCTATTTCATACGTAGTTCATTTAGCACTTGAGAAGGATGTCAGTTGTGGCTGGGAGAATTCATTCTGAAGAGGTAAAAACATCAATTTCAGTAGGATTTGCCTACCCTCCTTTAATGCTAAAAGTACTTTTCAGCTCACCCAGCAATTTGGATACTTTGCAAGTACTTGTCCTTTCCCTGGCAGCTGGAAGAAGTGTTGGGTAGAGCAGACTTGCAGATGGGCAGGTGGTGACCTTGAGAATGTGACCTGCCCAGATCCTGTGGAGTCAGAGCAGCAGCAAATTCCTCACTCACATCATTCAAACCTGTTCATTGTTGCTCTACCTGCATCAAATGTGTCAGGAACAGTAGGTGCTCACAGCTGTGGTGAACCAAGTCTGCTTTGGTGACAGGAGCTGAAGAGCACGACTGGACATGCTGGAGTTGGGGCTTTAGTGCTCGGCTGGAGGGCTGGAGCTCTCAGGTCAGCAGAGGCACCTGCATTCACCGAGCTGTGCTCTGTTTGGAGTGCTCTTTCTGCTCAGGAACTGTGAATGCAGCCCCACAGAGCTGCACTCCCACTCCCAGAATAACTGCAAGAGACAAGGTGTAATATCTGTAGCTGGGGAAAAAAGATGCCTCTGACAATTTGACTTTTCATCATGACACAAAGCTTCTTTAGGTACAAGTTGAAAATGATGGGACAAAAATAAAATACTTTTGCAAATGTTATAGAATCTGAGTTGATCTCCTGTCAGATGTGGAGTTATCCATAAATAGCTGCCTTCCTAACATACCTTTTTTTTTAATCTCATCCCAGGGGATCCATGTCAAGCCTGGAATCTTGCAACAGCGGTTTTTCTCAGCTGAGTGGAGCCACTACATCTTCCAGCCAGTCCCAGAGCAGCTCACACCTTTCTAGATAGCAGGGCTGAGGCTACACTGGCAAGGAAAAAAAAATCACCTGGAGCTTCCTGGCCCCCCCCAGAGCTGCTCTGTGCACCAAACCAAAGAGCCAACGGGGACTGAGCCTGGAGGCAGTTGCTCGTGTGACCGCAGGTAGCAGCCATTTGGACACAGAGAGGCTTCTAGGAGCTATTTTAAACATAAAAACTTAGAATTCAAATGACAGATTTAGAAATTTTCTATCAGATGCCTACTTCTCAAGTAGTCTTTTTCACAAATTGTGGGTTTGGATGAATGTCAGTTTGCATGAATCTGTATTAATTGATTTTTAAAGGGCTCTTTCCAATCAGTCCTTTTCCTACGCGTGGTAGAGGAGACTGATGTTGCCTTATCCCTTTGATCTCTAGGACTAGATTATTCCTGTAGCAAAATTAATCTCGTTTTCTGGGTGCCCAGGGTATAAATTACACCTCAGAAAGTCAAGTGGGCATTTCCAGTGCAGGGATTTGAAGCAGATTGTAAATACCTTAATACAGAGAAGATGTTTCAAAAATCAGTCCCAGGTCAAACCTAAAACCTCGTCCGATCTGACAGGATGAATCTGAGGAAATGTGTTTCCTCAGGTCTGATCTGAGGAAATGTGTTGGATTTTTTTAACCCACTGAGGTACAAAAATCAAAATGGTTTTCTAGAAAGTACATGCAGAGAACCTGTCTCTGGTCCATCTTTCTTAAAGATAGCCTATTTTTCCTTTTTTCCTCAGGTTTACAAGCAATAATGAGTAGATCTGACCCATCTCATCAAAGTGGATGGGAACTGAATCAAATTATAAAGGGCTAAGAAAAGCAATATTTTATTTCCCGAAGGCACAAAATTTTATGGTAATATTATAGAACTTGCTTCTTTAACACATGAGCTAACTTGAAGAGAAAACTTTGGAGGAAAAAAAAAAAGGCATGTATGTATTTAAGCACTTACTGAAATGTATTTATTCAAATACTAGCTTATTTTAAATTTTAACTTAATTTTTAACTTATTTATAATTTCAGAAATGACTATTTATTAAATCCAGTCACTTTTTTTTTTTTTTTAATGGGATAAACTTTGTTTTAGAAAGGAATAACTGATCCCAAGAAGTCTTTCTGCTTCAGTTTTAATCTTTGTGATGGCTGGATGTTGTTGTGTAAAGGGCTGTGTCGTACCTGGCGCTGGGGATAAGGGCTGCGTCCCGCCTCTTCCTGCAGGGTGAGGTCAGAGTCCAGTGCTTTTTGGACTCTAGAGGGATGTTTCTTAGGATTAAGAAACAAAGATTGAGTTTAGGAGTTGTAAGAAGATGGTGCATCTTCGTCACACACCAAAAATATCATGTTTGTCCATCATCTCCACTGATTATGCCAGAGAGAAGTGTAGAAGAGGTGCTAGTGACCCACTTATCCAGTTACACGTGTGCTCGTCTAGGTGGCAACAAAATAAGAACAGGCATCAAATCCTCAGGTGCTCTTGGGCAGTATTTGCAGCTGGCAGACACGAAGGGCTTGTGATGTGGACAGATGTCTGCTTTCGGATCCAGCTCTGCTGCGTGGAGACTCCTCCCTGCAGGGGGAGGTTCCCTCTGCACAGATCTGCTGCCTGCAGAAGGGTGGTGAGGACAGTGCTCCTGCCAGGGTTCGGGTTCTCCCAGCCACATTCCAGCTCACAGAACATGGCAAATGTGGCCTAAAACGAATGAGCTTCCAGTTCCCCAGCTGGGGAGCAGCACAAACAGGTCTGGGCTTTGGGGCAGGGACAAGCAGAGGTGGTGGTGGAAGCAGAGTTTCTTCCTCCAGCACAGCAATCCATGTACCAGGGCCACTTTTCTCAGTAAAGACTCGGGGGTTTTTTCCCTCTCACCATGTTTTTATTAAAGTTGATGGAATCTGTGCAACTAAGAACAACATACAAGTCAGGTAGTTCCTTCTAACCCTGTTTTAAATTTTGAAGCAAAGGAGAAAAGAGACCAAATATTTGGAAGGATGGGAGATGAGGAACTTGATGTGTGAGTTGCTTGGGTTTTGGGGGGGTTTTTTTTAAGGACTGGAGTCAAGGAAATGACTCTCCCACCTTGCACCTCTCACTGAGAGCAGAACAGGTAACTTAGTCACACCGGCCTCGGAAAGTTCTGATTTCAGAGTTTCCCAGTTGTTCTGTGGACTTTACCATTTCTCCCAGATGACTGAAACTTCTGTCTCTGACATTTCAGCGTAACTGGAGTCTGATAGAGAGGGAAAAGTGCTGCCTTTGCTCTGGAAAATCACAAGGTCCAGACTTAAACCTGCATGTGTGTATCCCTAAGGTAAAATCCTTTATCCCTAATTAATTCTGATGCTAGAAGTAGAATTTCAAACTGGCTCCCAAAGCATCAGGAGCAAACCCAGCATCATCCTCCCCATGCTATTGCAGCATTTCAGCTTCTCGTGGTTTGATTCTGACGTGGTTGGTCACGTCCCATTCCTGTTTCCTGGCTTTCCCTTGGTTTGCTCTGGTGAAGAATCTCTTCCATTGCACTTGGATTTTTTTTTTATTTTCATTTTATTTTAAAATGTGTCATGAGCTGTTCTCCTCCCACCAGTAAAGGTTTTGGGTGTTTAACTCTTGTCAGTGAGGCACCTGGAACTTGGCAGCCCCTGGCAGGTCTCTGAATGAGCCAGAAGAGCTGAAGGGCTGGTCCAGGGAGGGTTCCCTCCTGCTGGCTCCAAGGATGTCGCAGCCATAGCTGTTCTGTTCTTCTGCCCCACAAGAGATGGCTCCACACATCTGTTTGGGAAGCAGCTTCTCATCTCTCCCTTCTCCATTTTAAGCTTCTCATCTCTCCCTTCTCCATTTTAAGGTTCTCATTTCTCCCTTGTCCATTTTAAGCAAAATTGCCCAGTTATTCCACCCACCAACTTACTGAGTTACCAATTTAAATAATCCAATCTGGATTTTTTCCTTTTTTTTTCCCCCCTTGCATGTTGACAGGAGAAAGGGGGCAACAGTCTGGGTGTTGTGCCTGGTGCTGTGCTTTTTAAACCTGACTTTATGAACTGCAGGTATAAGAGAAGCAGAATTCTTCTAAACCACCTTTTTCCCCCTAAAATGACATCAGTGTGCTTTAGAAAATGTAACGTACTGTTTTCTTCACAGCAACCTCTTGTGAGTTGAGACTGGGAGGAGTTTTGGGGTCTGGCACCCTGGGAGTCACTCATCTCTCAAATCTTGTGAGCCAGAACCTTGAAAACTGGACTGTAGTTGTGGGTGCTGGGCTGGAGCTGCAGCGAGGTGCTCCCTGCTCCCTGGCAGCTGCTCTGTGGTGAAGCTGGTGAGCTCGGGCTGTGTTCAGGTGACCAGCTGGGTACTTCAACAATAGCTCCTCGGTAAATCGAGGCTTTCCCCTGTTTCAGATGTTCCATATGCAAACCACAATACCTACCTCAAGGAGCTGTTGCCATGTTTCGTGTGTGACAGGAGATCTCAAGAGAAAGGTGGTGACACTGCAGGTACAAAGTGTTGTGCCATTGTTTACAGTTAAATATGGCCATATGTGAAACCTTTTCCTTTTTTAACAGTTTCTACAGGTTTGCCCCATCCTGCCATTTACTGGCTTCTCTTCCCAGTAGGACTGGGAAAGGCAAACGCAGAGCAGGTCACCAGTGGGCACACGTTGATGACGGGTGTCAAACTAGACTCGGGGCAAAGCTGGAATGCAGGAGCCGAGTCATTTTGGCTAAAAATTTTGTCATCTTTCCAGTTTGAAAAGGGCTTTTTAAAGTGGTGTGGACAGAACAGCTCAGCCTGGTGGAGGGACTGAGGGGGACACTGGCCCAGGGAGGTGTGGAAGCAGCAGCACCAGCTGCTTCACCACTTCCACGGGCCCAGGGTTCAGCTGTGGAGCAGCGTTCTGATGCCTTCAGCACCGTCAGCAGGGAAGCACCAAGAACATGGGGCAAGTCTGCATCGTTTCTTGACTTCCTCTGTACTTGCTGTTGGGGGCAAAGCAATCCGGATTGTGAGTCGTGAGGAATTCGGAGCGACTGCGGTCGCTTCGGCTGCGCAGTGTGTTTGCTGCAGAGTTGCAGACAGTCTTGTTCGCTTCAGTCTTGTGCCCGGCCAGGTTGGTTGGATCAATTGCCTTTAGTAGGGGGAAAAAAAAAAAGCTTTTAATAAGAATTTATAAACCCTAATTGGTTTATTCATCAACAGATACTGAAAATGCTAAAATCCAGTCATCTTAAATCCCCAACGCTTACTGCAACTCAGAATTCCGGGTGGGAAGTGGTGAGTCCAGCTGCCTGCTCAGCTCGGGGTGAGGCTGTGCCGTGTTGGCGCAGGAGCTGAGGTCAGTCGTAGGAGAGCTGCAGGAATCCCTCATTTTAAATGCATTTTACCAGCTCATGCTTCTTTAATATCCAAAATGTTTATACTGTGAGCCAAAGAATGCAAGAAACGGAGCTCTCAGAGTCTAAGGACTAAAATGGACAAGCATCCGTCACAGATTCCCACATGCTGTTAGCTTTCATACTCTTCCAGTGTGCTCGTGGTGATTCTTACATCATCTCGCTTCTCTTTTGAAAGGTTAAATGGATGTGTGACATGTATTGGCTTTTAATGACATCAGTGTCCACTTCCAAGCTGTTACCAAGTTAAATGGGCATTATTTGTTTTATTTTTTTAGCAAGCAGTCTTACTTTCTCTCCCTTGCAGCTGTCTTAATTTTTATACATTGAAGACCTGATTTTATTTTTATTTTTTTTTTTCTCAGCCAAAAAAACCCCCAAACATTCTCTAAGAGCACCCTAGCAAAATGCAGAGTGCTCGGTACCCTGTTACGTGACAGTTAGTTACAGTGTCTGTAGGTTCTGGTAGGAACTGTACATTTCTGGATGTTGGGAATAAAAAAGCCTCTCTAAAGAACGTGTCTGAGTGTTTGATGTGACTGTTCAAACGGTGGTAAACTGAGAACTGAAGCTTGTGTGCTGCTCTTCACCCACAGAAAGAGATAAGTCTTGCTGGTATTAACTTATTCCTACTTTTTAGTTAAAATGTTCTTTAATTTTGTCCTGGAGAAGCAGCAGTTTTTGTTTATTTTCATACCAGAGTGTGCTGCTGCAACAGGTCACCCTGCAATGCAGTTGGTTATTTAAAATAAAACCCCTTTTATTTAAAATAAAACCCCTTTTATTTTAAATAACCCACCACCTGGGTTCCAGTGGTGAGCTGAGCTTAACTGGGAAAGGATCGTGTCTTCCTTCTGCGACCGAGTACAAAGAATGGAGCTTCAGGCAGTTATTAGTAACAGACTTTATTCAAGTTTCAAATAATTTTCTGTAAATAATAGAAAAATAGAATCTTCCATTTACAGGTTGATTTGATGCCAACAGTGGCACAAAAATTACATGTCCTTGGAGAGATTAAAAAAAGGGGAGAGCGTAAAAAATGTTACTGGTGGGGCTCAGACAGGCTTCAGCCCCGGGCTGTGCAGCGTTACAGTCACAGTTACAGGCTTGGAAACAAACTCAACCACGTTTTCTTTGGGCTGTTTGGGATTTTTTTTTGCTTTTTTTTTTTTTTTTTAATGCGTTGTGCAAGGATGAATTCCAGTAAAATGTCTGATTTCCAGCGAGATGTTCAGGATCTTGGGTTGCTTGAAGTACTTGGGGGTTGCTGGCAGTTGCTCCCTCCCAGGTGGGGAGGGTGTTTGAGCAGCAGCACAGGCCAACCAGGCTGGAGTAGGGTGAGTCCTGCTCTGTCGTGTCCCTCTGACCATGCTGGGCTGCTGCTGGGCTCTTCCCTGCCCCAGGTGGGAGCTCCAGGCTGTGGCAGGTCACAGGGCACCTCAGTGGCAGCTTGGCTGAGCTCCCAGCTTCTGGGAGGTACAAGAGAATGCAAGAATGAGGTTTTTTTGGTTTTGTTTTGTTTTTTTTTTTAACTTAAAAGGCTTTTTATGTTTCTGTACTGTGAGAACCTACCAAAGCCGCAGCGCTCATTGTGCACCTCTTAAACTACTTCTGGGAATAAGGATTCAGTAAGAAAACGCTCTGGCCCTGCAGTCGCCACAGGCCTGATGAAGGAAGTCAGGTGGAAGGAAGCCCCAGCCCCGTGTGTCAGCTCTGAGCCTTGCACTGGGGCCAGGAGGAGGAATGCTGCGGGTTTCTCGTGTGCTGCACCTGCTGCAACACTTCAAAACAACTTTTTTAAGCTTTCTGATGAATGTCTGTGTTGGGTTTGTGTGATGGGGCTGGTTTTGGTAGTAGGGGAAGGAGCTACAGTGCTGGCCCCTGTGAGAAGCTTTGTGAAGCTCCCTTGTCTGAGCAGATGGGGGAGGGCAGCTGGAGACTGCAGCATCCTTAAGCAATTTCTCTTGCATCTTAAAAACACCTACCACTGCTCAGGTGAGAAGAGCATGTGGCTTACATTCCTCACTTGTTTTCCTCAAGTATTGGAGGGAACCTGCCCATTTCTTTTCCTGCTGCAGCTGTGGACTTCCCTTTTCTACCTGTGTGTGTAGAAGCCCGTCCCATGGCTTTGCCTCTCATGGCAATAACTCCACGGTCCTGCTGGCTGTGGCTGGAGCAGCAGAGGGAGGGAAGCTGGCCCTGTCCTGGGGGGGCTGGGAGGGAAGCTGGCCATGTGCTGGGGGAGCTGGACCAGAAGCAAGGGGAGGTTCCTGGATGGAGATACCCTGCTGCTGCTCTTGGCTGAGTCAGCAGTTCCACACTCCTGTCAGAAGAGCCCCTGTGCCAGTCAGGGCTGAGCAGCAGCACAAGGTGCAGAGATGATACCTCCTCTCCCCTCAGCCGGGGCTCTGAAGAAATGCCTGGCTGGGGTCCTGAGCATCTTCTGTCTCACAGGCAGCAGAGGTGGAGGTGTGAGCAGCTTCCCCGTTCATCTCCCTCAGCGGGTGGTAGAGGTAGTCACCGCTCTTGTGGTGCCTCTCTGACCTGGCCTTGAGAAAAAGCCCTACATTTCCCATGGTGCTGATGACCAGAAGCAGAGCCAGGACAGAGGTTATGGAGATCCAGGTTTTCCTGTCAGACAGAAGAAAAACCCACATAAGCAACATCTCTCAACCTGCTTTCACGTGTTCCTGGTGTGCAAATGACTTCTCAAGGTTTATGGAATCATTTGGTTGGAAAAGACCTTTGCGATCACCAAGTCCAGGCATATCTGTCCACTACTGAGCACCTCGTCTACACGACTCTTCAATCCCTCCAGGGATGGGGACTCCACCACTGCCCCCCTGCCCTGGGCACCCCCTTCCAATGCCTCAGAACCCTTTCAGCAAAGAAATTCTTCCTCACATCCCATCTCAACTGCCCTGGCCACAACTGGAGCCCATTTCCTCTTGTCCTGTCCCTTGGTCCTGGGTTGAACAGACCCACCCCCACCTCTCTCCACCCTCCTTGCAGGCAGCTGCAGACAGTGAGCAGGTCTCCCCTCAGCACTCCCTTCCCTGTCATCACAAGCCTGTGGTTCTGCTCTGGGCAGGAGGGTCTGTGCTCTGTGAAAGCCTTTGAGGGGCAGCTCTGGCAGCCAGAGCACAGGGATGTTTGGAGTTTTCCCCTCAGTGGAGGGACCGGCGGTGCCTGCAGAGCGGCTGTAGCGTCACCAGTACCAGGCAACTGCGCTCTGGTGTTGGAGGTGTCCTTGCCTGCCTGTTCCATGGACAGGGCAGCGGTGGGAGAGGAAAGGTGGCTCTGGTTTAACTGGAAGCTGCAGAGCACTGGGCTCAGAGCATGAGCTGTCATTGATGGGGGCTTTGGCTCAGCACTTTTGTCTTACAATGAGGTTTTTATCACCTCACCTTTCCCAGCATGAGAGCTGTAGGTGATGGACAGAACAATGTCAGAACACAGATGCTTTGGGCAGAGAAGCAGCAGGTCTGACACTGCTCTGGCACTCGGGAGGGGGTGTGAACAGCTCCATCTCGCAGTGAGCGACTGCTGGCACAGATTGTGTGTATGTACACACGGAAATGATGAGTATTACACACTTACTCTGACATGTACACACTTACTCTGATGAATGTACACACTTACTCTGACAGAGAGAACTTCTCTTTGCTCCTTCCCTTCTTCTGGGAAGCCAAACAGTGCCCAGCTGAAAAACAAAGAATGGGGGGGCGGGGGAAAAGGCAGCGTTAGGGGGAAGGTGTACAATTCCACTGAAAAAGAGCAAGTTTTGGTAAGGTGACAGCCAGCCAGAGCTGGTGACGAAGCAAACAGAATGTTATGCACCAAAGCTGCTCTTCCAACTTTTCTTTTTTAAAAACCCCAGCCACTGCCATCAGAGGTACCTTTGTTTAACTGCTCCTGTACTGCCAAGTCATGGGTGACGTTGCAGCTGCCCGTCTCCCGGTCGCAGGGACACATGTGTTCACACGCACATTGTTTCTGGCAGTTTGGCCCGTACCAGCCCATGGGACACTCTAGGGAATTGATGACAAAGAAGTTGGTCACTGTCACAGCTCCACGTGATTTGAAACCATCTGGTTTATGGCTGCAGCTCCTCCAGCCCCCAGCTCAGTGCCAGGAAGGGCCGACACACTCAGAGCTTTAGGAGAGGCTCACACTTCATTTTGTGTCGCAGAGCAGACCCTGGTCTCCTTGCTCCCCTTGTTTTTCCCCCCCTGCCACACCTGAGCTCAGAAGCAAAGGCAGAGTGGGGGCATCAGGAGCCGATTGCTGAAGGGAAGCAGGAACTCATGTTTGAGTACAAGCATCCAGCGGGCTCTTGGGCTGTGCTGAGCACTCAGGGCCCCGCGTTTCCTGCAGCCTGACAAAGCTGTTCTGCCTGCCCACCCTGAAAGCACCAAACACTGAGTTAACTGCTGGGATTTTCTTTATGTCAAGGAGAAGATTTTGTAAAATGGGGCTCAGGCTGGCTGAGCTCCTTAGCTGTGTGCACAAGAAATTCACACCCACGCTGTGATTAACTTGTCCTGTCACCAGAGCAGGCTGTTCAGGTGCAGGGGGGCTCGAGCACTGCAGGAAAGCTGGAGTGATTACATGATGGAGACCATCCCCAGCTCTGTCAGCACCAGCCAGAGCTGGAAGGTTGTCAGCCAGAATGGCCCTGTGGAGCATTTCCCACCCACTGGGTCACCCAGGCTGCAGGCAGGGCCTGGGGCAGCACCCTCAGGTGAAGGATATTTGTGTCCTACACTCACCAGGTTGGGAAGCACCACAGATCTTTGGGGCAGAGACTAAACTGGGATCCACCATTTTCTAATGATGAAGAAAATTCCTCTTTCCTCTCCACTCCCTCCTTTTATTTTCAGTCCATTTGGGTAGATCAGGAGAGCCCTGAAGAGCTGGGATTTGGCAGGTTTAGGCTCCAGCGGTGAAGCTCAGGCCTGAGCCTGCCTGACAGAGCTCCCGCTCGCTTTGCCTACAAGAGGTGGCTCAGATGTGCCACAGAAGCCTCTCCCCAGGCCCTTACTCAGAGCAGCCCTTACCTTGCTCACAGCTGGTGCCATAGTACCCAGCCGGGCAGGAGCAGGCTCCGTGCACAGGGTCACACAAGCCACCATGCTGGCACTGGCACTTCTGGGTGCAGGCGTCCCCAAAGAAACCACTGGCACAAGCTGCAGGAGAGAAGCAGAGATCTCATCGGGACCCTCACTACAAAGGCAGAGACCCCATCCCATGTTTATACCCAGGGACTAGTCACTGGCACAGGCTGCTGCTGGCTGCTCAGAGAACAGAAGCCGAGTCTCTGCCTTGAACAAGGAGCAAGAGCTTGAAGTGCTTCCCACCAAGCCAATCTTAAGATGCTCAGGCTGCAATTAAACTCCCGCTGACAAAACAGAGCACACTCACTGTGTGGCCCTTCCCTTCATTGCTCCCTCTTGGAAAAGAATATTAGCAGGACCTCCCCACCACGGCGGGCAGCCAGCTGCCACGAAGTGCTTCACACTGTCCTTCTGCTGGTTACAAAGGAGGGGAGCGGAGTGGAAATCAGCAATTACCTTCACTGCAGTTGCTGCCAGTCCAGCCAGGGTCACAGAGGCATCCAGCTGTGCAAACACACACAAACAGGCATTAACAACCACAGGGAAAGACTGAGAAAGAGCAAGAATTCAAAATTAGGAACATCTGCTTCGTGGTGTCCTCTTAACTCCCTGCATCTGCCAGGGAACCCACAGCAGAGGAATCCTGACCTCACACACAGGGTAGGTCCACACACACCCACTCCAGCTGTCAAACACAGCGGAACCTCCTGCTGATGGGATGGATGTTTGAGGGATTAACTCTGGGTCAACTATGAACAACCCCTGCAGCCACTGAGCTCTGCCCAGTCACTGCACTGGTGCAAACTTGGCTGGGAGTTTAGTCAGGGAGAAGAAGCAGGAAAACAAGATTGAGGTGGCAAAGCAGGAGCTGGGGGGTTTACATCCTGGCAGTCTCGAAATTCAGAATGAGTTTACGGAAGAGCAGCAGCTGCACACTTGTAAAAACCATGAAGTAGGAGGGTGAAGTAAAGAAAGAACACTAAGGGGAGGGGGCAGAACTCAGCTGCTCTGTTGCACAGTGTAACACACTGTCTGTCCCATCAGCAGATTTACAAACCAACCAGGAGCACAACCCCAGGGGGCAGAAAGGGAAACTGAGGCACTGAGTTTGAAGTTAAGTCTGATTACCAGTCCAGTTTCCAGGTCTGAGCCCCAGCCTAGTGCTGCTGCTGTCTCCCAAAGGCCACGTGTCCTGCCCATCCCTGCTGCTCTCCCCGAGCTGGGGAAGGGGCAGAGCAGCTCCACGCAGCCAGGAGGTAAGACAAGGGCTGAGGCTTCAGGCAGCCGCTCTCTGCAGCGAAGGAAGCGGCTGCTGCTGGTGCCACTTCAGGTGAGCTCTGCTCCTTCACACCAGGGTGGGGAAGGACTCCACAAACCAGCCAGGACTGCACCCAGTGACACACCCAGGCCTTGCCGTGGTGCCTCGTGGGCAGGTAAGTGACATTCCCCAGGTACATCCTACCCAGGGCCATGCTTCCCCTCCAGCCACCCACCAGCACAGAATCCCAGACTGGTTTGGGTTGGAAGGGACCTTAAAGCTCATCCAGTCCCAACCCCCCTGCCATCAGCAGGGACACCTTCCACTAGACCAGGTTGCTCAAAGCCTCATCCAGCCTGGTCTTTAACACTTCCAGGGAGGAGCAGCCACAGCTTCTCTGGGCAACCTGGGTCATTAAACAGCATCTCTGTGTGAGAAGCCTTTGCCCACCGCGGTGACTCACAGTCGGTGCAGACGCCGTGCAGGCTGCAGTTGGAAGGGCCACAGTCCAAGGTGTCACATGCTGGGCCTCTCCAGAAGTCCCCAGCGCAGCGGCACTCCCCTTCCACGCAGTCCCCGTGACCGCTGCAGTCTGCAGGCTGGCAGGCAGGCTCGTGGATACACATGATGGTCGAGATGCTCCGAGGACAACGCCACATGTTGTTAAAAGAGCTGGGGACAGAAAAATGGGGTCACATCAGCCATGCAAGCACTGTGCTGCTCCCAGCCCGGTGTGAAACCAGCTGACACGACCCACAGATATTCATCCCGATTCATACTGGCAAACGAGAACGTTCATAATGGGAAAATATCAGTATCAAACTAGATTGGAGGTCATGTTTTAATGGGGAAAAATCTTCACTGTGAGGGTGGTCAGACACTGGAACAGGTTGGCCAGAGAAGCTGTGGCTGCTCCTCCCTGGAAGTGTTGAAGGCCAGGCTGGATGAGGCTTTGAGCAACCTGGTCTAGTGGAAGGTGTCCCTGCTGATGGCAGGGGGGTTGGGACTGGATGAGCTTTAAGGTCCCTTCCAATCCAAACTATTCTATGATTCTTAATATCAAACTGGATTGGAGGTCATGTTTTAACTAAGTGTTAACTCTTCCTGGATAGGAGTCATTTCAAAGCTGGAATGACAGAGAGCAGCACACAGGCAAAGTCTCCCTTTAAGCAGTCCCAGCTGCCCCAACTTTGGTGCTCAACACGCCTTTTCTTGAATATTATTTGCTTTGATATAAGTGATGTCGTTGCAGTTATAGCAACACTTGGCTTTCAGCTGTCAAGGTTGCACACTGAATTCTAAATCTCTTCATGTTTGTGGTGAGAAATGACAAAAAAAGCTAAATTTAAAGTAAAATATTCTTTAGGTAGCCTCAAGGTGAGGTAGGGCAGGGTCTCCACGTCAGTGTTTCTCTTTGATAACAAAAAGCTGTTGACAGATCTCTGCTAATTCCTATGGATATGCAGCTCAATCTCCCAGCCCAAGAGCTGCTGCCTTATCTGATGGCCACACCAGGCCACTCGCTCACGTCCAACAGCTTTGCTGCACGGCTGGAAACAGCAAAACTTTAATCCTGGATGACTAAGTGGAAACAATATGTAGTCACTAAATCGCTTTAAATCTTCGAGTCGCTCTCTCCCTCCAAACCTGTCACACTGTGATCTCCCAGGGATGCAGTGACCCCCTGGCAGAGCAGAGCAGAGCAGAGGGGTAGGGGTAGGCTGCGTGGTGCAGCCCTGGGCACGTGCCACCAGCACCTACCAGTGCTCAGAGGGGTAGTTCGCCAGGGTCCCGTTTAAGACCAGCGTTGCAGACCCTCCACCATCCAGGTTGATGGCATTGATGACTCCCTGCTGTTTCAGAAATTCAGCCATCTCCCAGAGGTTGACCCTGCAAAAACACACAGTTGTTTGTTGCTCGTTCATGTTACTTGACTTGGATGAAACTGCTACGCTAGAAGCTTGGTCCCTCTCGTTGGTGGAAGGGGAGAAGCTCCCAGCCCAGGTACGCTGACTCGCTGCCTGAAGGCTGCATTAGACCTCACCAAACAGCACGGTCTTCAACTGACCTGCCTTAAGATGTATCACTGGCAGCTGTAGAGTCCCTCCAGTGACAGAATTTAAAGACCAATCTCGCACCTTAGATCCCCAAGACTTTAGCACAACCCTGGCCTTACCCTCTGGATTCTGTCTGTCCATCCACATGAACCAAGACCAGCTGCCCCTGACTGTCGTGTCCAACCGCAGTCCTGGCTGATATCACATTGATGAACTTGTCGAAGGTTCCTGTGCAGGAGAGGGAATAATTCACACAGCAGCTGGGTGACAGAACTGGCTGTTTACAGACACATCTGTCTGCAGAACAGCTCCCAGCAAGGAGCTCCTCTAAACCAAAACACACTGAGAAGAGCCCAGGTTCCTCTTGTCCATCCAAGCCCATCCAGGAATAATGATTTCAGGAGCACTCTTGGTAAGTTTTTGTCTGGCACAGGTACAAAGGGGATTCACAAACCCTCAGTTTTCAACTCCCATAAGAGACATCTGCTTTGAGTTTCTCTGGACAAGTATTAACACTGACCATGCCACCACCATCTGCAGCTCTGCTCTGCACTGGGGCGGCCTCACCTCCAGCACTGGGGGCAGTTTGGGCACCACAGGAGAAAAAGGATCTAAAGCTCCTGGAGAGTGTCCAGAGGAGGGACACAACATTGGGGAAGGGTTTAGAGGGGAAGGGTGTGAGGAGAGGCTGAAGTCACTGGGTTTGTTCAGCCTGGAGAAGAGGAGACTGAGAGGAGATCTCATGGGGGTCTAGAACTTCCTCCCAAGGGGAAGAGGAGGGGCAGGCGCTGATCTCTTCTCTCTGGCCACCAACGAATGCCAGGAGCAGAGGAAATGGCAGGAAGATGTGGCAGGGGAGGGTGAGGTTGGCCATGAGGAAAAGGTTCTTGAGGCAGAGGGTGGTGGAGCCCTGGAACAGGCTCCCCAGGGAGGTGCTGATGGCACCAAGCCTGACAAGATTCCAGCAGCATTTGGCCAAGGCCCTCAGGGACATGGTGTGAATGTTGGGCTTGTCCTGTGCAGGGACAGGAGTTGGACTCCATGATCCCTGTGGGTCCCTCCCAGCTCACAACATTCTGTGATTCTACAATAACTCTATTGAAGGACCCCAAACAGTGAGCACAGCCTCATCCTGCCAGCAGCCCGTTGCTTGTACTGCACTTGCCGCAGACTCAGGGTAAAGGAGCACAGAAGAAATTTGGACCTTTTGAGGGAGCAGCAAACTGCAACTAAACAACATAGTTTCCACTACTACCCCCTCCTCACCAGCCCCAGCAGGACAATCTACACCCAGGCTGAAGCCTCAGGCTTTACAATATTTACCTGTGGTTTGAATTTCACCACACTCAGCCATTTGACTCTGACTGACGTACACTTCTCCGTCTCTTAGGAGCCAAACTACCCCACTCACAAGCTGCACAAAAGGGTTTGCTTGATCCAAGACGTCTTCCTCAGACAGGTAACTAGGAAAGAGAGAGCAGGAGGGGTTACCCACAGTCACAGCAGTGTCACGTAAAAGCCTGTTCTGCTGCCAGCAGGCTCCAGAAGCACAGAGAAGGGGAGGAGGTGGCTGAATGCAGGTTAGCTACATCCAAAACTAGAGGCCAAGCAGTGTGAGCCATCACTTCAGCAGCCAGAGCAGACCCTGTTCTCCACTATCCTGCACAAAACCACTGTTAATGACGGTCCCAGGCCACTGTGCATGAAACAACTCCTGCCAGTGGCCCTAAGCCAGGATATGAAGGGCAGAAAGCATCTGGCAGAACACGAGGGCAGAGCCATCGCCAAATACTCAGGGATCTGTGGAAGCAGCTGGAGCATCTCGCTGTCTGTCAGCTTCCACTCTGCCCAACAGTGACACCAACCAGCTTTTGAGAGGGTTTTCAGCAACAGCATCCATCCTGCCCACAGCTGCAGAGAGGGGGAGACAGTTCTGGGTGCGACCTGCTCCCCTCCACCTGGGAAAGGGGAGTTCACTGAGCAGTCAGTCAGTCAGTCAGTCAGTCAGTCACAGGACGGCTCAGCTGCTGTTTCCACAGCCAGTGTTGTGTTTCTCTGTGTGGTGCTTCCCAAGAGGGATTCTCCTCTCGAGAATTCATGTGCTGAGTAACATCTGCCTCATCAGAACCTGGGGCTGGGTGATGTTTGTGACCGACCAGAGAGGAGAGGGGAGCAGCAGAGGCTGGGGCTGAGCAGCTGTGCTTTCACTCCAAGTCCTGCCAGTGGTTTTTGGTTTACAAGCGATCGCTCTGCGCGCTCCAGACACGGCTTGTGGGAGCTGGATGCTCAACTTTTAGGGTTTTTTTAATATCCATGATTGCAGCTGAGCAAAGCTTCATGTTTTGTCAAAAAGTGTAACTGAAAATTCCTGGATGGAAAAGATGTTTTGCCCACAGGAAAGGAACTCAAAGATAAAATGAACACACCTGAAAATGGATCAAACTGCACAACAGCTCGAGCTTTTAAAGGATGGACAATTCTCCATGGCCAGTTTAGGGGGAAGAGGCAGCATCTTTGCTAGGTGGGGGGTAATGATGTGCCCTGGTGCAGCGTCCTGCTGATCACGATACAGTGTGAAAGGATCAAGTGCCAATTACTTTCCCCACTGCCCTGAAATTATTTACCCCCAAATCATTTCTAGTGTCGTGGTTTAGAAGCTGCAAAGACACCACGGAGACAACAACTCACACGGGGCCACAAGTGCATTTAACAGGGGAAATCCTGCCAGAGCAGGAGAGAAGCAGAGCAGAGCTGAGATTAAGGACTCAACAGTGACCTTGGTGTTGGTCCCCTCAGCAGAAGCCCCCTCACTCAAGTGGACATCCCACCAGCTGCCACCAGCTCCACCAGCCCCTCTGCCACACAAATGAAGGTCGTGGTGAACCCCTCAGGGCTGTCAGAGAACAGCTAAAGCCCCGGCTTGGTACGGGCAGTTTGGCTTTGCAGGGACCCTCGCTGAGGGGCTGATGGCACGTGGGAGTGGGCTAGCAGAAGGATGGAGAACGTAGCCAACAGATAGAGCAGCTTCCAGACTGCTTCTTGGTCTTCTGAGACCATCAGAAGGACCTCTGGGAACCTTCTAGGACCTTTAGGGTGCTGGGGAAGGGCAGCTACCAGGGGCCTTTACTTCCAGCAAGCACCACCAGCCCCTCTGCCAGCTGATCCTCATCAAAGGGTGCTCTGAGCTCCTCTCTCCAGCTGATCAGGGAGCATCACACACCCTTTCACCTGCTGCCAGAAGAGGCCTATAAAACCACCAGGCTGAGCCCACAGCTCCCAGCAGTCAGGAGATGTTGTGGTTTATGCAGTGGGGAGCTGCAAGCTCTGCAGAGGGCAGAGTCTGTGCTCAACTGTGGGGGCACGCTGCAGGGTAGAGCCTCCAGCACTGAATTCCACCACCCACACAGCAGACACCTTGACTGAGCTACAGGAGAGGGGTGTGTGCTGCAGGGATGGTGAGAAGGAGATGGACACATCTTCCCTAATATCCTGCAGAAACCAAGCTCTGAAACCCCCAATGACCAGAAGGAGCACCCAGGATCTGCTCACTGGGGTGGCAAATCCTGTGCTGCTGAAGGTTGGAAGCTCTGCCTCCACCCAGCTGTGGTGCCCTGGCAGCAGCCAAGGGGCTGAGGGTCCTGGGGAACGAGATGTCTGTGTCTGCTGAGCCTGAACCCCACAGCAGCACCTGAGGAGGTGGGTGGGTGATGGGGGAAGCTCCCTGCTGTGAGGGACAGAGCCCCATGTGTGACCCTGCCCAGGGAGGTGGGCTGGGGGCTCGGATCTGGGGTGGTGTGGAGAGACTGCTGAGGCTTCTCCAGCCCCCAGACTCTTTCCTGCTTCTGCTCTTCCACACAGGTGCCAACAGAGCTGCTGAGGAAACCAGGAGTGTATCACCAGTGACTGTGTGGCTCTGGGGGTGGTAGCCAAGGGTGGCCTGGGTGGTCCTCTCCTCCGTCCTGCTGGTGAGGAGGAAGGGCTTGAGAAGCTGTGGATGGATTCTGTGGGTCAATATGCAGCAGCACAGCTGGTGCTGGCAACAGGAATTTGGCTTTTCCAAGGACAGACCCTCTCTGAGGCATGAGGACCTGACCAAGTGAGGCAAAACAACTTCTGTAAAGAGGTGATTTGCTGAGGAGGGTTTTAGACCAAGAATGACACAGGAGGGAAATGATCACCCACAGCCAAGCGAGGAAGGGGCAGACCAGGCTGGCAAGTGAAGGTTGCAGGGTCATATGGACAATAAGAACATGAAACAACAAATACAAACCCAAGGGGATCTCAATTTGACGCACACAAGGAAATGGTGAGAGGACTTCTGGGGAAGCTCTCACCTTCTTCATGGAAATCAGAGCTGGTGTCCGTGTGGAGATGGACAGTAACGTGGGCAGAACAGGCACCAACAGGAGGAATCGGGTCTGTGACTGCAGGGCTGCAGCCTCCCTGGGACCACGCAGATGAGTGGAGCGCTGCACTGGATGGACACAGGCTCTTCAGGAAGAGCCCACACCCAGGGAATGTGGTGGGAGAAGTGGGGAGCAGATGAGAGAGCAGCAGGAACACCTGGAGCTCTGCCCAGGTATGGAGCACAGGCCTGCCGAGGGCTTACTGGTTAGGACTGGAGAGCTCTGGCAGATCAAGGTGGGTGACACGGTGGTGGGTGTCTGCCACAGACTGTCTGGTTGGGAAATAGTAGGTAAGACCTTCAAAAAACTGGAAAAAGCCTCATGGTCACAGGCCCTGACACTTGTGGGAACCTTGAACCATCTGCAGAAGTGGCCACACAGCAGAGCACAGGCGACCCAGGAGATGTCTGGATTTCCACTGAACAGTGAGTAACTGAACCCAAGACAAACTTTTTTACTGTCAAGGGTGGTCAATCACAGGAACGGGTTTGCCCAGAGAGGTTGTGGAATCTCCATCCT